TTTCTTTGCCTAGAGGAACAGGGAAAACCACCCCGGGAGAAAACGGTTTCAGGTCCTGAGGGATGACTGAGGTTTGCAGAGCCGAGGGAGGTGGGCTAGGGAGGGGTGACAGGGAATCCCAGATAGAAAGAACTTGCACACTAGGATCTCTAAGTTCTCTCCCAAACTCCAGCATTCTGGGCTGAGTTTCTTCAGAAACGGGTCACCTACTACTCTGCCAGGGAGGTGCTGGCCAAGGATCGCTACGAAGGGCTTGTGCAGAGGCCCCCTTCCATGGCATGTTAACCTGCCGCAGCACAGTTCCTATGGCTTTTTACCCTGCCGCAGCACAGTTCCTGCTGAGCTCCTCAGCCCAGCGATCCTTCGCCTTTACAGCCCTGCACATTGCAAACAGCCAATTCCCTGTCCCATTTTACAAGGGGCCAATGCTGAGTCCAGAGAGGTGCACTGACTTCCCAGGTGTCCCAGCACACCAAGACCGAGCTGGCATCTAGGATGAAGTGTCACCTGCAGGAGACACTTGCCATCTCGGGACACAAAAAGTTCCTTGGAGAGGTCCTACTCTGCTTCCCATCACTGGAGGAGGGGATGCCCTACATCTGGCCCTGGGTCAGGCTGCACAGTACCACCAGCCGCTCCATTCCACTTACAGAATCACAAACATGCCCATTCCTTGGCCAGCACTGGAAAGCTGGGCACTGGGGCTCTACTGCGAGACACTGCCTCCCTCCCAAGAACTTGGATCACGAGTGATCCAGATTCAGGAGAAGATGGTAGAAACAAAAAAGATCCAGGGATGCTGGGTCCAGGTGTGGGGAGAGCAGGTGCAACCGGGCATTTCTGGGCACAGCTATCACCTGGAGTTGGAGCAAGGCCCTTGCCCCTCTCTAGCCTTTCAGGGAGCAGCTGCCGTGAGGCGGTAGTGTGAGGAGCTGGAGGATAACACACTTAGATAACGGAGGAGAGGTCAGAGGTCGGACTGGCCTGGGTTGGGCAGAGTGCAGATGAGCCTAGGGGTGGCTCTTCGTCCCACTAAACCTGCCAGAGAACTTGGGAGGGTGCAGGAATGGGCACAGAGGGAGCCTGAGCCACCTCCTCTAAGCCCTGTATTGTGCCACCCCCTCCTTGTTGCCTGCCAGCCTACTCTGCCAGGTTGCCGAGCGAGGAACCTCCTTGCCCAGGCTGCTTGTGTGGTTTGGCTGGAGCCCAAGGACAAGAGTCGCCTGCAGCCTCCCTCCCTGCTGCTGATCAGGCAGGTGCAGGAGGAGCTGAGAGGGCAGTGTCCCAACAAGCAAAACTTTGGCAGCCGGCCAGGTGGGAGTCCTTCTCGGGAGCTGGGGCTGAAGAGAAGACTAGAACTTTCAATAAAGCCGAGACAAAGTTAGGCTTAAGGAAGCTGAGCACAATCCATACTCTTGCTCAGGGCAGGGCAGATCCGGGATGGAGACTGAGGACGGAGGCAGGAGAGAGAAGGGAGGGCACTATCAACACTAGCCTTGCTGGGAAAATAACATTGTGTATCAGAAACTGTGCTAAGCACTTTACATAGAGTATCTTTTTTTTTTTAAGAATTATTTTATTTAACTTTATTTATTTAGTTTAATTTGACCAGAGAGGGACAGAGTGAGAGAAAGAGAGTGAGAGAGAGGGAAAGTGAGAAAGCAAGTCACCAGGTCTGGGACTCGAACCATGGTCGACCATGTAGAAGTTCAGTGCCCTTAACCACCATGCCACCTGCCAGCCCCGCTTTTTTTTTTAATAATTATTTATTTTATTTTATTTATTGTTGTTATTATTTTTTAATTTGCCATAGGGTACATGTGCTCACCAGAGACAGACAGGGAGGGAGAGAGAGAGAGAGAAGGAAATGGAGAAGCAAGGTGCCAGGTGCAGGACTCAAACTATGGTCAGCCATGTGGGAGTTCAGCGCCTTAACCACCACACCACCTGCTGGCCCCTACAGAGAGTATCCTATTTAATGCTAGGAGAATACCATGAGGTAGGAATTAGAATTCCCACTTTACAAAGGAGGAAACAGGTACAGAAGGGTCACACAGTTGGCAAGCAGGGAGTTGCGATTTGAATCCTTGCCGTCTTGAGTCTGAGCTAGGCTGAATCTGACAAGACTGGAGAATAAGGAATACAATACAGCTCTTCCCCAGGGTCCCCCAATATAGGTGTGTGTGCACGCGTGCTGCCTGTGTATGTGTAGGGGCTGGGTTCTGGGGCTCTGCCTGCCCCGAGCACTGCCTGGAGCATGGGTTAGGCAGAGGGAGCTGCTGGAGCAATGACAAAGCACACCGCGCAAGCCTGGGCTCATCTCAAGGCCACCTCCCAGACCAAGACTCAGTGCTTGGTCACCCAGGGTCTGGGGTGATCAAGTCAGGAGTCTGTGTTGCAGGCATGCCACTAACCAGCCATAGAATAAGTCATTTCCCTTCTCTGGGCCTCAGTTTCTCCATTTGTCAGTGAAGGAACTGGACCATCTCAGTCATTTTCAAACATTTCAAAATCCCACGCAGCAACGCACTACACAAAAGAGGCAGAAGCACCCCCACCCCAGAGCACTAGCCGTGTGGACTTCAGGCAAGCCCTTGGAGGTAAGACGAACATGCAGATCTCTGGCCCAAGGCTTTGGGGGACTGCACCATTCAAGGGGCCCCAGCATGTATGTGCTTTCCTCTTATGGGGTGGAGTGGTCAGGGGAGCTGGGAGAGTCGCAGGAGGAAATGTCATTTGGATACCAGGAATGCATCTAAGACCCAGAGCAAATGTTTGTTTTTCCTTGGATGCCCTCCCAGAGCCATTCGTCCCACCCACCTGCCCCTCCTCCTGTGTGATCTCGGCTCACCCCCAAACCCCAAGTGGGCAGGTTGGGGGTGGGAAATGCGCTGAGGAAGTGAAAGAAAGTCAGGATGGAAGTCATTCGGTGGGCTGTCCCCTGAAGCTAGTCCCCCCACAACCTCAGTTCTTTCAAGGGGCAGCTCCCACACCCCTCTGCCCCAGTGAAGTATGCTGGGGCATCAGGACTCTCTCTTCAGGGAGGACAGTCAAGAAGGAGGGATGGGGCAGGGTGGGGAAGAGGGCCATGCTCCAGGATGGAGAAGCCACTAGCCTAGCAGGCGACTGACTGCTTTCCAAGAAGCAGGTTCCCCACAGCCACAGCACCAGCAGCTGCAGCAGCACTGCGACCGCCACCACCGTCACCACCACCACCACCATCAGGCTGGTTCTAGTAGGTCCTGTGCCTACTGATCCTGGCTCCCTACACACAGCAAGAGGCAGGAGGCCAGGGAGCACCTTCGGAATTCTCTCGGTTCTGATGTAATAAGAGCTGGAATCTCTGCCTAGAGCCACAGAGGTTGGAAAACTGAAAGCTGGTTTGTCTCACTCTGGAAACAAATAATCTCTCTCTCTCTCTCTCTCTCTCGCACATGCGCACATACACACACCACACCACACCATACACAATGAGCTGGCTCAAGAGTCTGGTGGGCTCTCTGAACCTCAATCTCAGTTTCTGGGCCACCCCAGTTCCTATAAGCCAGTCTTCTCCCCAACAAGAGGCACAAGGCACGAACATGAGCAGCTATTTTCCAGCTATGCCCCTGACAAAGCCTGGCCCAGCAGTCTCAAGCCTGGAGCCTCACTGGGCCCTCACATGTGTAGAGAGAGAACGAAATGGAAAGCCAGGAAGTTCGTAGTTGCCCAATAGCTGTACGCTGGCAGCGGGCAACTGAGGACCGTGCCAGGCGCTAGCAGGAAAAACATACTCGGTCCTATTGATGGGGCTGTAATCCACTCCTTTCGCCAACATCTACTCTCCAGTCACCAATGAAATGACTTCTCGGATTTCAAACTGGCTACTGGTTGTGAAAGCAAACACACTGGGAGGTGGCTGCTGCCATGGTCAATAGGGCAAACCATGGCCACCCATGCACACACGCACGCACACACACATCTCACAACCAGCACCCAACTGGATTCAGTAAAACACGATCCCTAAGCCACCTGCTCTAAAAGGCTTGTTAAAATAGTTATATAGCCCCAAACTAGACCTTCAGAATAAATTCTTCCAGGCTCAGAACCAGAAAGTAAGTATTTTAAACAAACACCCCAGGTAGTTAGCATGCCCTTCGAACTCAAGTTTGAAACTTTCAGGGCTAATGTTTATCGGGCACAAGTTCAGTTTACATTTGTATCCGACTTGATTCTCATAGCAGCTTGTGAGGCAGGCTGTATTTTTTTCCAGTTTGCAGAAGAGGACTCTGAGACTACTACAAAGATGAAAGCCGCTAGGATTACCATGACTACCACACACACCCTAAATCAACGGGACAAATTTCTAAAAAGGCCCCCAAACCCAAATTACCTTGGGGAACAGCAGACCTGGTGCAGTACCTAGCTTCACGTTTTCTAGAATGAAAAACCCATGAAATTTCAGCTAAATCTCTGTGCTGGAAGGATCAAAGTGCAAACTCAGCCTTTCCTAGGTTTCCACAGTATGCGGGGCTGCCAGACTCTTAGAATGGAGAACTACACCTCACTCATTCCTTCAACCACACACATGTACCAATCCCCCCCTCCGCTCCCCATGATCAGGTGCCTTCGACTTCTTCCCATTCCACTCTTGAAGAGTCAGTTTCAAGCAAACTGAAGTCCGCTCTTCTCTAGGGAGCCCTCTCATCCCAAGACAGGACACTGTTGGACGTCTGTGCAGCCCGCCAATCACTCGCCTCCCTTGGCAATCATTGCGTGCAGCCGGGTCCCTGGGGTTCTCGGGTCTACGACCATTGTTTCTAAAATCATGGACAAAGACGTCTGCAACAGACACACTCCTACATACACACACACACACACACATACACACACACACACACCCTCAGTATGGTGAAGACTGTGTGCTGGACATTCCACCGGACGCATTCTCCAATCCCCGACGCAGCCAAGCAGGAGCCCTCTTGGCAGTTCCCGGCACCGCGAGAGGGAGCCGCACTCACCAGGCGCCCTGAGCTCTCCCGCGCCTTCTTCACCTTCCCGTAGGTGCCCTTGCCCAGGGTCTCCAGGAACTCGTAGCGGTGCCGAAGGTTGTGTTTGTGGTGGTGCCGCTTCACCGCCTGCTTCTTCATCAGTGGCTTGGGCGACTTGAGGAGCCCTTCAGCCAGGATCCGGGTAAGATCCCCTGTCGGGGCGGCGGCGGCCAAGGGAGCCCCGCCGGGATGCCGGAGGAAAGCCAAAGACTCCATGGTGAGCAGGAAGCAAGCGAGAGCGAAGAGGGACTCAATCCGACACTCGGGGAGCGCTAGAGCCTGGGGCTCATGTTCCGCATAGGACCGGAACCCACAGCTTCTCTGGAGAGCGCAGCAAAGCACCGCATTCCAAGTTGTTAAAAACGCTCGGAGCCGAATGCCCTGGCCCCGCCCTTCCCCGCGTCTATTGGTTCGCTCACTGGCGGCGTGTGACCAGGGCCGCCCGCATTGGCTTGGCCGGCCCCGGCCCCTCCTCCCCTCTGGGCGTGGCTGGCAAAGGTGTCAATGGAGCCACGCCCCCTAGCCCGGAGAGGGACAGGCCTGGGCAGCTTGGATAGTTGGTACTACTGAGGTCGGTAACCCTACTTTGAGGGCCCTTGGAACTGCTCTCTCCTCTTTGCGGCTCTTGGTCCTGGTTACAACCACCTGTACTTTTAGTGCTGTGTTCTCAATGGGCACTTTGAGGGCACTAGAGGTCATCAAAGTATTTCTCCATCCTGAGTAATTTGCTTCTCCAGAGCTCAAATCGACAGTTGCTTGACCACTTTTCAAAGTTCATAAAGGAGAAAGGGACTGGAGTGGGACAGAGGAAGAATCCAGCCAGGTGGGAGGGCTAGTGAGCTGTTGTAGGGTTCTGAGTTCATTCATCTTCAGTTAGATGAACCCTAACTGGATTCTAGAATCCAATGGTCCTGGAAGTTCTTACTGCTTCATAGAGGGCTTTCAGGGTTTTTCCCCTCAATGAGGTGGAATTTATGAAATCTTGGCAGGAGATGGAGACAGCCAAAAGGGAAACATCCATTTGTCCAAAAAAAAAAATAAAAAATCTTATAGGGACACCAGTAAGGTGCTGGACACTCCCACATGGCTGACCACAATTCGAGTCCCGGACCCAGTGACTTGCTTTCTCACTTTCTTTCTCACTCTCTCTCTCTGTCTCCCTAATCAAATTTTTAAAAATGAATAAATAAATTAAATTACATTAATAATTTAAAAGTATATCTTACCCTCTGACTATTTAACTTGTGTTCCTATATCAGTAAACAGCTGCCTCACTCAAGGTTGTCTTCACTGTGAATTTGGAGCCAGGAGAACTACTGGTAGGTCATGAGGTTTTGCTTGATGTTTGAGGCCTGGAGCATTGGGTACAGAATCCCATTGCAAGTGCTTGGAGTAAATGAGAAAGTCCATAGGTTTTCCTTTTGTCTCTAAATAGGGAGAAAAGGACATTCCCTTTAGCATTTTTTTTTTTAATTAAAAAAAAAAAAAGGCCAACCAACTGTGTGGTAGTTAAGGTGGCTGGATCTAACATGACTGACTGCTGAGTTTGAGTCCCAGATCTGACAACTTGAAAAATACCAGGCACTTGTAAGTATGCATGCCCAAAATCCCTAAAGGAGGAAGAAATGGAGAAAGGATTGGGGTATAACTGTCCCCCATGGAAGTGATGCTTTCTCACTTTCTCTCTCTCTTTCTTTGGTCTCTCTCCAGCAAGTACACTTGCTCTCTGGCAAAATTTTAATAAATAATTTTTTAAGAATTATTTTATTTAACTTTATTTATTTATTTTAATTTGACCAGAGAGGGACAGAGCAAGAGAGAGAAAGCAAGCTGCCAGATCTGGGACTCGAACTGCGGCTGGCCATGTGGGAGTCCAGCACCCTTAACCACCATGCCACCTGCTGGATCCTTAATAAATAACTTTTCAAATTTAGTATACAATAATCATATGTTTTTATGGAGTACAGTGTCATTTTTTTTATATAGATTATAATGCGTAGGGGCAGGCAAGTGGTGTGATGGTTGAGGTGCTGGACTCCCATATGGCTGACCATGGTTCAAGTCTTAGACCTGGAGGCTTGCTTTCTCTTTCTCTCTCTGGAGAGCGGGCATGACCTGTAGCAAATTAAATAATAATAATAAATAAAATTAAATAATTCTATAAAAAGAGAATATAATGCATAGTGATCAAATCACAGTAATTAGTTTACTCATCACCTCAAACACGTATCTGTACTTTGTGCTGAGAACATCCAAAATCCTCTCTTTTGGCTGTTTTGAAACATACTTAACAATAGTCACTGTACTGTCCAGTGAAGTGAGTATGATTCTGCTCAAGGCCATTCAACTGGGAAGAAAGAAGCAGAACTGGGATTCAGACACTGGTCTTTAGAGAGGAGGATGGAGGACAATAGGCCTTGACCTCTCTCTCTGAGGGAAACTCATCTTGCCAGCAGATTAAAGATCCAGTGTGGATTCCAGGAATGCTGGCAGACAACCTTCCCCATCTCTCCAGGAGGAGAACCTCCAGCTGTGTATTCAGGGCATGCTGAGGATTATTGTTTTGTTTTTGTTTTTCTTCTTTACTCCTGATAGAGTGTGTAAGTTCACACATAATGGGAGTGGGGGGAAATAAGTGGGTCTGGTCTCACCACTATTCCCTTTATCCAATCCTCCAGCCCATTGGATCTTGGACATTTGCATGCATGGTTGGCATGTTTCAGGCTGAACTGGTCAAGGATTTGAACCTCAGTTGCCTTGGGGAATCTGGCTTCTCTTGAGCAGCACATTACCCCGGCACCGTGGAGTGGCCCTGGATTTTTTTATTTTAAGCCTGTTACTTTCCTACTCCTTTGACCTTTAGATCATTTTTAGTGTGAGTGGTGATGTCTCCATTCTTTCATGGAACCCTGTGCTTCCTTCGTGGATGGAGAGGATCCACCTTGTGAAGGAAATCAGACTCCCTCCTTCCAATCTGGAGGGTCACAGGAGGTGGTAATTCGACTTTCCTGCCTCTACCACCCCATCTACATTTTGCTCTGGGCTACCTGGGAAATAGCATGAGCCCAGGAAGGAGTTGCCCTGAACTGCTGTTTGCTTTTTTCTGATCTGCATCCATTTTGCAGTGCTCAGCTAGACAGTTAGGCCTGTCCTAACTGTCTAGAAGAGCGATGGATAACACATATAAGATTGAGCTTGAATGTTGTGAGACTTGAGTTCTAACCCTGACTCTGATGCTAACCAGTTCTGTTACCTTCTCTTTTTAAAATTATTTTTAATTGTATTTATTCATTTACTTATTTTGTTTTGACCTAAGTGAGACACAGAGAGAGAGAAAAAGTGAGAACACAAGCCACCAGGTCAGGACTTGAACCGTGGTTGGCCATGTGGGGATGTCCAGCATCTTAACCACCATGCCACCTGCTGGTCCCCTTCCTTCTAACAATTTCTTCATTCAGTCTACAAATATAGGCACCCACTTGGCGATGGCCTGGGAGTATAATGTAAGTTCAAGGACATGGACTTCATCTTCAGAGAATTCTCTGGTGAAAATGAAACAAGCGTATCCTATACAGCGGGAGAGGTGTCCACAATGACAAGGACAGAATGCCCTTGGAGACTGGAGGAGGCTGGTCAAGAGTGGCATGCTGCAGGAAGACAAGGCCTTTTAAGCTGAGGCCAGAAGGACATGTGGCAATTTGCCAGCTGGATAAACATTTCCTGATAAATAAGAGTTGGGCTCATTTGATTGAGCCCAGAGGAGCCCACAGGAGTCTGGATTATGCCTAGAAGGTATGTATGTTTCGAGGTTTCCCCAATACCCAGTTCACTGCTAAAAGGTGAGCAATGGATTGGAAGAACGCACAACGGAATTCACAGCCTAGGGTGGAACGTTAGGGGTTCACCTGCGATTCCAGTGGGAACACATTATCTGCAGTCTCTGAGACCTTTCCCATCCTCATTTCAGCTTCCTTTCGCTACAGTCTGAATTGCCACATAGGGACCCAGCCATAGATGACCACAGGTCCCAGAGAAGAGGTTCCTCCCTGTCTCAGTCCAGTTCAGCGGGCAGCCCACAGGGAGAAGGTTAGGGCTTTAGTACCCGTGAATCTGGCTGCTGTCTGTCCACAACCCATAAGCAAGGGAGGCAGCCAAACAGACACACTGGAATGCTCGAAAATTATCTTACCTGCTGAAACGCAACTCTCAGATTCCTTAAAAGGAGACTTGGTTGGCGGCAGAGAAAGAATGCTGTCAGGGAATCTGCTTGTGTCAGAGCTCCGTGGCTGCTGGAGCCTGAGGAATTCCCGGTCATGTGCTCGGTGGTTGGGATGTGCGATTGTGCTCAGGTGTCTGAGCTGGGGGCAGAACCACTTTTTTTTTTCTTTCATATTTATTTACTTTTTAAAAGATTTTGCCATAGGGCATGTACTCTCCCTAGAGAGAGACACAGTGAGAGGGAAAGTGAGAAATCACCCCCCCCAGGGGATGGCCATGCCACAATCCCTTCTCCTCCATTCTCTTCCTGGGATTTTGGGCACACGCATACATGTGCCTGGCATGACTTTCAAGCTACAGGGTCCACAATTTGAACCCCAGTGGGCCATGTGGGAGTCCAGACCTTAACCACTATGACACATGCTGACCCTGAGCCAAGCCACTCTTAACACAGCCTACCCCACCATCTAGTACTGAGCCGGTCCTATTCGTATTAGGAAAACAATCAAGCTTCTTTTTTTTGGGAGAGATTTTCACTATAGGGCGCGTGCGCTCGCCAGACAGACAGAGAGAGACATAGAGACAGAAAGTGAGAAATCACCCCCCAGAGGGGATGGTCACACCACAATCCCTTCTCCTCCATTCTCCTCTCAGGATCTTGGGCACGCACGCACACGCACCCGGCGTGAGTTTTAAGCCACCGGGTCCGGGACTCGAACCACGGTCAACTACGTGGGAGTCCAGCGACATAGCCATTACGCTAACTGCTGGTTCCCCAACAAGCAAGCTTCTTTACCCTGTCCTTAGATACTTCACAATGTGTGTGTATGTGCGAATGTGTGTGCACACGTCAGGGGACAGGATATGAGGCAAGGCTACTAAAAGGGGGCTTGAAAGAAGCTCAGAGTGAGGACGGCTGTGACGTGTCCCCTGGGTGACAGGCAGGCACACAGTGCAGGAGCACAGTGAGAGGCACCAAGGTCACACTCTGAGGGGGAGGTGGGGATGGGGCGGATAAGGCCAATCTCAGGTACGGCTAAAGTGAGTCTGGAAGAGTGAGTAGGAGTGAGCTCCCTGCTTTCAGGGAGCTTACAATTTAGTCAAGGGAAATAAAATAAATACACAATTTACCATATACACTTTTTCTCTTTTTTAAAAAAAAATAATTATTTATTTAATTTTATTTA